AAATTCTACCATACAGTTTCAGAAAATATATTATTACTGTTGGAATCTTTAAATAACCGAATTGCGCTATATTAAAAAAAACACAGTAATAACTCTGCTTAAAATATGCATATTATGTAGTCTAAAAATCTTAATTCATTATTTCTCTTTTCCTTCACTCGTGAATTCCATTACATTACTCTTTAAATTTTTAGTCGTTTTTAACCAAACCACTTTTTTACAGTCTTCTATGAACTTACTTGAACTACGAAGCAAATAATGATTACGTAAACATGTCACAAACCTTAAGTCAAAACCAATCGGAATTTCAAATAACCAACGACACATTTAAATAATAAAAACAATGTTATTAATTACAATCAATACATGAAATATAAAGTCAGTTGGGCTCATTATAATTAAAAAGAATATCACTATACAAGAAGGATTGTGTATAGCTAAAACGGTACCATAGGTCCAAAGATTTTAACTAAAACGATTTCACCATACACTAGGATTTTATTATAATTTAAACAATCACACTTGCCCAAGAGAGTTCGTTAAAATTAAAAAGATATCACTATACGAGTGTTTACTCAAAGTTAAATCTTAACAGTGGATAACAAGCTTCGCTATGAATAAAACGTCATTACTTTCAAGGGTTCGGTATGACAAAAACAGTATCATTAAACCACGATGGTTCATTTTAAATATAACGATATCACCAGACAACAATAGGACTCACAATAACTAAAATAATGTGTCTAAACAACACGATTTTATTATGATTCGTAGTTCTATTAACCTATCTTCCTATAAGTAAGGAAGCATATACTTTATTATGTGTATTATAAGTTTTTATAAGGTTATTTTTAGCTGTATGTAACTCGAATCCACTATTATTAAGATAGAGAACAGGTAAGTAGACCAGGAGAATATGAATTGTGTTTTAGTATTCCAGTTTTATTTGGATAAGCATTTTCGTCTTAGAAGTTCCTCATCGTGTTATGTGGAACTGTTATCATGAATGATAGCATAATATGTTTAGTTGTTCTTCTTCTTCTCTCTTTGTGTCATCTTTGGTGCTGAAGATTGTTAGTTCTTTGTCTAAGAGAGTTCTTGTTTAGCATTAGAGCTCAGTGGTTATTTTCAAGGAAGATTTCTTCTATAGCATGCAGTGTGTAATGTCTTTGCCGACCACTGTACACGTTGTAACGTATACTTATTTCTATAACTCTTAATATCCTAATCTTTGTTATTCTTCTGAACTGTTTTCTACTTGATTCAAAGTTTTCATAAAGCAAAATATTATCATTACCCTCAATTCAATCAAGTTATTCTTCTAAATTCTTCAACTTTCTTGTCATAATTCAACTGTGAATGACGAATTCTTTATCATATTGATCAAATGCAGTTATTGTGAATATTAAATAAAAAGTTGTTTATCTGTGGCACAGAATCGAGTCTACTTGCTTCACAGACCTAACAACACATCTCTAAATGCCATCCTTGATCATTTCGTTAATTTACAGACTACCTACCTATGCGATTATTAACAGGGTGTTTAGCCACATTTAAGCAATCATATGGTTAAGTTAAAGGACAAGTGGAAAGTAAGAAACTATTCTCTGGTTCACTGATAAATTGCTTGTGTGTTTTTACTGTTTGTTTGTTTTTACATTCTCTTTTACTTTTACAGAATAAAAACAATGGCTCTTTCCTACGGTAGTTCATTGGTCCAGAAGAAAGAGGACACACCTGCTGGTCTGTGGATGGAACCGAGAGAGACAAGTTATGCTCATTGGAGTCCAGATCTGGATTCATTGCTCTCTCCTATACTTTATCAGGCTCATCAAGGGTTCTAGATCTTATATTTTACCTCTAGAACCAAACATGAACAAAGATGCTGCAACTACTCACCAAATCTTTCAGCTGTAAAAATACAATGTTATGAAGAAAAACATTATGACTAGAACTCTGCTTGGTGGGAAACTAAGAACCACTAAAACTCCTTGTGATGATCTCTTTAGAACATCTCAGTGGTCGGTATCTTCACCACTGTCTCAATTCACAACCTGAAGAGAAGAAGGTGGTGAAATTGGTCCAATGACTAATCCTGGAATATTAAAGAGAATGAAATAATTGAGCATGCATTCCAAGAATAGCTAAATACAGGATTAAACAGCTCTTACCACGTTCAGTGAAAGTTTGTAACGTTCAGATCCTCTCCATAATTCGCGTTGACCAAGGACTGTCCCCTCATACCATCATACAGAGCTACAAACCTGGAGGAGGACTCAACATGGGATCAGAATGTCATTCCAACACAAAGAAAAATTGTAGATGTGTATAAAAATTTCAAACAACAAATTAAAAACACAGCAAAAATCAAGCTTAAAAGAAGCAAAGCTCCTTGCTGAATATATGTATCTTGAACACCCACATCTGAAAATGTAAAGTGTGTAATAACACTACATCTCAGATCCGACACCCTCACATCTCCAGTCCGATATGTCAATCATTAGGCCAAGCTAGGGACACAAGGAAGAAGAAAGTCTGCTATAAATATAAAGAGCATTTATACTTGTCGCTGTAAATCGTAAATATTTGTGTGCTCATTTTTCTTTTAGTTCCGCATACCTTAATATTTCTATTTCAGGTATTCGCTAGTTCGTTAAATGTTTTCCTACACCAAAATAATTCTAATTATTATTATTATTATTATCATTCCCTTCAGAGTTCTTCACCTCTCTTGTTATAATTATGCTGTGTCTGATTATTTTTTAACATATTGCCCAACTGCAGTACTTTTGAATATTTAATAAAGAGTTGTTTATTTATGACACCATGTCAAGTTTACTTACTTCACTTAAACATACTGTATCTGCCAAAGCCAATCTTTGTGGAACTCTCGATCACCCTGTTAATTTATGGGTTACCAATGCTCTTGATGACAGTATATTTAATTACATTTAATTAATAATCTAAGATTACCCAATTAATAAAACTAAAACAATACTAGAAATTTTGAGAGTTCACGATACTAAAAGGATATCACTAGACGAGTGACCACTATAACTACTACAATACCAATAGATTATAAATGTTCTACTGTGAGATGGTATTAAATAAAAATGGTTCACTACATCTAAATATATGACTAGATTAGTGTTCCTTATGATTAAAACGATGTCACTGGACCACGGGGGTTTGCATTAAATAAAACGATAATACTAAATCCCAAGGCTCATTGTAATTATTGGATATCATTAAATAATAAGACCTCACTATAACTAAAATGATTTCACTAGGCTACAATGGTTCATTATAACTAAACAAATATCTGTCACTAGACAACAGTGGTCACTCCAACTAAAACTAAACGATGTAACCAGATTACTCTATCAGTTATAGCTCGTATATGTAGATTTCTATACAAATAACCTAAAACATAGTTTAAATAGTAAATGTGTTTTATTGTTGGTGACGTGTAACTGCATTTGGAAGACATATTTCCGATAATAATGCATTATTTGGGACAGAGTGAGGACAATGTTTGAAAATTAAAAAATTATTAAAATAACTGAAAAAAAAATCCTGGTCAAAATTTCGAGCATTCGACATTCCTTGTTCCTGTTATAGTAGATCAAACCATTTATGTATTTTACATATTACTGCACTGTGATAACAGTTACTTGATAACTATGAGGACGTTTTCTTTCCTCACTTCCATATTCCTTTTTTCCAGTAACTTCAAGACTCGGTCATCAACATTCAAATTCCACTTAAAAGTTTACAAAAATATCAAACAAATAGTTGTTTGAATTTAAAACCATTGCAGACAGCAAGTGAAACTAAACAAAACTAGAGAATAGCAATGATAAAAGAGCTCCATATG